AGACTCCCTGTTTGTGGAAAGGCCTTCCCACCTGCTCCCTGTGACTGCATTGATCAAAAGTCTCATTGTGCAGGTTGTGTTATCTCTAAGATCTCATTTTCTGGCCTGGTTGCAGGACTGGAGACAGGTACCTGTGGTCAGGTGAGGATTAACATGACAATTTTTTCTGGGGGTTCCAGGGGCTGAGGCTGCTCCATGGTGACTCCAGCAATGCCCTGGGACAGCCCCCACATGTGGCTCTGCTCGTGCAGGAATCTTCACCAGGTGAAGTCAAATATGAGCCAGCTCAACAGCATCCTTCCAGTGTCCTGGTTCCTGAGAGTGTTTTACTGCCAGAGCATTCATGGAACAGCTCATTTGCAGCTGGGCCTGGAAACCCCTCAAGTGCCTCCTGAGCAGATCCTGCTGGGGAATCCCAGCAGTGGGAATTGCTGAGGCCTTGTCCCTGCTGCTTCCAGCCCCTGCTGTCCCTCCCCACTGCTGGGAGCTGGGGCAGGCTGGGCTGAGTGAAATCTTTCACTGGAGAGGAGGAAACCAAAGACAGGGTCCTCCCCACAGGACTGTCCTCCAGGAGGGGAACTGTGCTGGGGCAGAGGCTGAGAAATCCTTGGGGTCTGAGCTCCTCATGCTGGACAAGTACCTAGGGCTCTGTCAGCAGGGAACAGAGACACCAAAGTCTGTCCCTGTGCCACAGCTGGGCTGGAGTCCTGTACCCAGTCCTCAGGTCAGAGCAGACCCTGTGAGAGCTGGGGGAGCTGTGTGGGGACCCACCAGAGGGGATGGTGGGGCTGGGTCAGTGCCCGTGGACCTGAGGAGCATTTGCTCAGGAAACACTCTGCAATCCATCAGGCATGAGAGGAACGAGACCCAGAGGGGGTGGGACTGGGAACGGGACCAACTTGGAGCAGGGAGGAACTTTGTGTCTTGAACTGACAGTTTGGGGTTTGGAGGTAGAACTTTGGAAAAATGCTTTGATTTAAGCTCAGACATTGCCCAGGGAGCAGGAAGGACCTCGGGGCACTTGGAGGACCCAGGAGTTCAGGAATTATGCCTAAATCTTCAGCCTGACCTCACCATGCAGGAGGAAGCCACGCCCTGGGCAGTAGCTGGTGCTGTGGCACTGGGGATGTGCTGGGAGCAGGTCACCCTTGTTCCTGTGTCTGGACACAAATGTGCAGGTATTTCTTGTTCCAGGTGAGTTATAGCCATGCTCTGGCTCCAGATCCTCAGGAAAGTTTATGTCACTTATCCTGGGATACACTGGGTCGTTAATGATTTGGGAACTGCTGGTGGATCTCTGGCTGTGTGAGAGAGGGAGGCAGCAGAGCCCACCCCATCTAAACTCAGCAGAGCTGCGGAGCCCCAGAGCCCTGCCCAGCCCACCCCTCCCTCACCTTCTCTGCTCATGATCTTTGGGAGCACGAGCTCAGCATTTCCACGTGTGGGAGGACAGAGCAGACCCATTTTCCAGCCCAGCAGCCAGATCCCTGTCAAGGACAGGCACGTGCCAGGGTGGTGGCTCCAGCCCTGCTCCAGGACTCCTCGCTCCAAGAGCTGTTATTTGCCTCTTCCAATGCCAAGGCCCCTCAGCCCAAGGGTTGCCCTCAGCCATCCTGGTGCTACTCCATCATTCAGAGCTCCAAGGAAGAGGTGAAATCCTGCTCCTTCCTGCAGCTCAGCTGGCAGGGCTGGGAGCAGGGGGCAGCCCCAGGGGAGGACCCCAGCTCAGGACACAGGGAGTGTGGGACTGTGGGCAAACCCTGCCCTGCCTTTCCATCTGGGGGAAGGCTGCAGGAATTTCCTGCCACTGGATTTCAGCAGTGACTGGCTGGGAGGGGGAACCAAATCTGGAGTCTTTGGGTCAAAACTTCTCCTCCCAGGTCTTGTGGAGAGCCTCCCCAGTTCCCAAAGCACTCTCCATGAACAAGGACCTCCATGGCCCCTCGAGCTCTTCCTTCTCCTCTGCGAGGCAGGAGATAGAAATGACTTTGTTTACTTGCCACGTTTTAGCCCCGTTCCCCCTCAGCTTCCTGCTTGTTCAGACTGTTCCCTCTTTATCTCCCCAGACAATCTCCATTGCCTTTGTTTGGCTTCCAGAAAATCCCTGTTCTAACCAGGCAGGAGGAAAAGCAAATTCAACGGCTTCCTCTGACAAAGGAGGAGTTTGGGGAAGGCACAGCCCAGGGCAGGGCAGTGTGTTTTGCTCGTGCCACGAGTGGGTAGTGTTCAAACCTTCCCGTGCTCTCATCCAGGTTGTTCTCTGCGGTGGGAGGAGGAAATCAGGTCCAGGAGAGACTGAATACAAATAATAGCTGCTTGGATTTTTTTAGAAGAATAATTCCTTTGTTGGTTCCTCTGACTCTGAGCAGCCCCCAAACAGACCCACAAGTCAGAGGAGAAGTTTCCCACCTGAAGCACCCCCTGCTCCCCACCCCAGCACTCCTTAGCTGTGCCGTGGAATCCAGGAGAGCTGGGATCACTCCTGCCTGCTGAGACAGAATTTATTGGGGTGATCAGTTTATCAGAGCCATTTGGCCATTGCACCCTGGAGCAATGAGGGCTCCCCAAACCCTTCCTGGGCATGGCTGGGAGTTGGCCCAGCCCAGGGAGCACTCCCAGGAGCAGCCCCTTGGCTGGGATGAGGAGAGGGACCTGTGAGGTACCTGTAAGGACCTGTAAGGCCCCACTGCCAGGGGACAATCCCACTGTGACTCCACTCCTGTCACTCCATGGTCTCCCTGTCCATGGTTGTCTCTTGTCTGCATCTCATTTCTCCTTTAGACCACGGACTCACCTTGTCCTGACTCCCACAGCCAGTACTCTGCTGTTACCTGAGCTGGCAGGGACAGCCCATCCTTTCATCCTCCAGCCCTCCCTGGGGGACCATCCTGTGCCCCTGCAACCCCAGCCCACCCTCCCACCAGCAGGGAAAAGAGCTGAGCCATGGGGGCAGGAGATCCTGGGGCTGCTCCGTGGGAAGGGCAGAGGTGAAATCTGCAGGGATTGCCTTGCTGGAGGGCTGGGGGGGCTTGGCAGGCAGGAGGAGGTGTGGGGGTGTTTGCAGATTGTAATTATTTTTCTCTTTTCCTCCTAATTACTGCCACGTGCCCAGTGCTTTCCTGGGACCTTCATTAACGCCCTGGTTTAATCCAAATAAACAATCAGCTCCTGCTGGACCCAACATCTTCTTATCCTTGACTATTTCTCAGGCAGCAGCAGCACAAGCCCTTGGCTCTGGGGGAGCTGCCCTGTCTGAAGGCTCTGGCTTCTCTCTTAGCCCAGAGGAAAGAAATAATGATGGAATTTAGCAGAGTCAAATGTGTTGAGGGATGTGAAGTGAGAGCCTCTGGAATACAGAAGCAAACCAGGGCAAAATTAGCATCTTAATTGTATTAATGTTGCCAATTACAGGCAGAGCCCCTGTCGCTCAGCAGGAGCGTTCTGGGAGAGAAGGAAAGACAAATTGTCTGCAAACTCCTTATTCTGTCTTTATGAATTACCACCCCAAGGTACTTAATTGAATCTCTAGTCCTGATCAGTGAACATTGTTCAGGGAGTGAATTAAGGGAGGGCCCTACAGGACTGCTCTGTTTTGTCCCAATTAACAGAAATGCTGCATTTCTTCTTTTTCTTTTTCTTTTTTCTTTTTTTTTTTTTTTTGGAAATTGCTGCATGCTGAAGAGTTAAACTGGAAAAGAGAAGCTGGGTTTAAAAAATTTAATTTCTGTCCAAAGCGGAGCTGGACGAGTGCATTGAGTGCATTGATGTCACTCTGTGCCACCCCTCTGAGCACCACCAAAATGGGACAAAAGTAGTTGGGAGTCCCACTGAGAGCATTGAGAGCCCCTGATACCAGTTCTAGTCACCCTGCCATGGTGACATCCTACTGTGTATCCATGTGGAATGGAAATTACAGGGAGAGAACATCTTCACTTGTGTGGGACAGGGTGGGACATTCCAGCCAAGGGTGTTTTTGTCACCAACATTACCCTGAGAGTGGAAATGCTGCCTCTGACTGAGCTCTGCCAGCTGGGAGTTGATTTCTGCTGCTATATCGAGTATTTTATGCAGCAAAACCACTGCATTGTCCATTCCTCAGAGCCAATACTGGGGATAAGAACCAGCCTGAGCCCATTTGTGGATGTGCATCCAACATCCTGTGCACTTCTGGGACTCCTCATGTGTGTTCATTTAAGGCAGAGTTTAGTTTAGAGTGATATATTTAGAAAAAACTCCCAAGAGGACAGTCTAGCTTGATTAGTTTTTTTGATTTTATTGCATAAGTTATACTTTATGTGTTCCAGAAATTTTTTAAAGTCTTTGGTCTGTTCATTCTCTGATTAGTAAAGAGAGGAAGCAGCCACAGGTGAGTTTTCTGCAGGTATTGGATTGGACCTTCAGCCACTGGAATGCTCCAAGTTTATGGAAGTGTTCAAAGGCAAGGCTTTGACTGAAAGAGGGGAAACTTAGGTCAGATATACAGAGGAAGTTGTTCCTTGTGAGGCTGGTAAAGCCCTGGCACCGGTTGCCCAGAGAAGCTGTGGCTGCCCCTGGATCCCTGGAAGTGTCCAAGGCCAGGTTGGACGGGGCCTGGAGCACCCTGGGCTGGTGGGAGGTGTCCCTGCCCATGGCGGGGGGTGGGACTGGATGAGCTTTGAGGTCCCTTCCAACCCAAACCATTCCAGATTCTATGATTACTCCAAACCATGTAACTTAGGAGCAGCCTGGTCTTGTATTGCTTAAAAATTGCAATGATAGGAGCGAAAAACAAACCTTCCAAGCATCCCCAGATGTCAGAGGTCCCAAGGAGCCTGATTCCCTGGGTGTCCCTTTGAACAGATGAGCTGGTTCTGTTCCTGGTTACACACCTGGGAAAGGGAAGAGGGGGGATTTGGGATTACAAGGAGCTGCCTGTTCTGCTCTGGGCTGGTTTTCTGGTGGGGATTTTCTCCTTTCAGCCCCAGCCTCTCAAGCCTGTTTAGGACTGAGCTGCACATCTGCCAGAGCTGGGGGCAGGACTGAGCCTGGCTGCTCCTCTGCAGGCAGAGCTGAGCTCCACAGCTGGCCAAAGATCATTCCCTCTCCTCTCTTCGTGTTCCCTCTGTGTCCTCCTGTGCCTCCCACACTGCCGGAGTCAGTTCTGGGAGCACAGACCATTCCTGAGTGCAGGATCCAGCACGGGACACCCACAGCCAGACCCTGAAGGTTCCTTCATAGGAATTACAGCCAAGTGCTCGTTATTGAGAGCCAAGGGAGAGGTGACCTGCAGGAGAACTCTGAAGGGGATTCCTAGAAAGGAAGGGGCTGATTATGTGGAGCTGAGCTCCTTCAGCCTGGTCACAGGCCCAGCTGTGACCTCTGCCCAGCGGCTGCAAACAGCCAAGAGGGGCCAGGGAGTCACAGTCAATGCCACGACATTCTTTCCATTGTATCTCACTCAATACAGAAGTTTGGGTGATGAAGCCACGAATTCCAGAGCAGGGGCACCTGGAACAGAGCCTGTGAGGAAGGGGAAAAAATATTGTAAAACATAATGATCAAACAGTAGGGGAGAGCGAGGACCATGAAAACATCCAAACTCGTGGCAATTGTTTTGGATGAGAATGTTTTTAAGAGTCCCTGTTTATGTTGGACAGGAGAGTTTGCTTTGAACAATGGATGAACTTTTGCAAAGCAGGCAAAATTCACTCTCCTCACTAATAGGAGCTGCTTTTGTTGTAAAAAAAATATGTATATTTATTAAACTAGTGAAAAATGAAGTGTCTTATTGTTTTGCTGTTTTCCCCAGGTTTTCTTTTCACACTGTCCACACTGGACTGTCATGAACAGGACTCGGTGAGATTTGCCCTGGAAGTGCCTGTGTGTCACTTGTGTGGATGAATTCCTTGGATCTCCAGGGTCACACAGACACATAACCAGGGGCTTCTGCCTGTGTCCCCAGGGTTACCAAGGGCACACCTGGGTTACCTGACCCTGAACTGTGTCTGGGAGTCTGAGCCCTGGTTTGATGCTTATTTGCAATATTATGAAGGTGCCCCGGCCCCTCGGGATCTGTTTTGTGTGTTCCATTGTGACTACAGGATCCTGGCACACAGGGATTGGGCCTCGGGGTCAGGCATGTGGCCATGGGAGGGAAAACAGGTGAGAAGAGGCAGGAACCAGCACCAAGGGCAGGGCTCTGCTCTGAGGGTTCTCCAGGGATCCGCTAAAGGCATTTCCAGGTCCCTCTCCATAGGGGTGGGCACTGCCCTCCCCCAGAGCCTCCACCTTCCCCTCTCTGCAGGCCCTTGGCTCATCCTCTCTGCTTCCCTGTCCTGGACACAAGTGCAGAGATGGACCCTGATGAACACACCAGGAAAGGGGATGTTGTTTCTTCCATTTCTTCCCCTTCCACATGAATTCCCAGAGCCCTGAGCAGCAGCAGCCTTTTAGCAGATCCTTGACTTGAATCTCGTGACATCTTTGTTGTGGAATCACAGACTAGTTTGGGTTGGAAGGGACCTTAAAGCTCATCATGTTCCAACCCCTGCCATGGGCAGGGACACCTTCCACTAGCCCAGGTTGCTCAGGGCCCAGCCAAACCTTTGGCAACAGTTCAGGCTCTGAGCACTCAGGAACTGGGCAGTTGGTTTCAGCAGCAAAAGCTCTGATCTTCAGTTTTAGTTTTGCTGGAGATGTGACTCAGGTGTCAGGAGCTGGAGAGGGACCAGAGATCCCAGAGCAAGCGAGACCAGTGTGGTGATGTCACAGAAATGGCAGGAGTGGCCCAGGGTCCTGCAGACAGGGAGGGCTGGGCAGGGCTCTGTGAGCACAGAGCTGGGCTGACTTCCATGGGAACTGAGCCCAAGTGCTTCCCTGCTTAGCAGGGCTCCCACTGCCCACCCCTGAGCATGGGCCAGGTATGGCTTCTTTGGATTTTCCTTATGGAAGGGAGGAGCTGGGAGATGCTCCCTCAGCCTGAAAGATCTCTCCAGGGGCTCATAAATGTGGGATGGTTGTGGTAGCAACCAGCAAACAAGGCTGCAACCTGGAGAACAGAGCAGGCACAGATCTGGGACTGTTCTCCTGCAGAGACCAAAGACACAGCAACCCCACACTGAGCATGTACAGCCCTGAGCTGCTCCTGCTGGGACAGCCTTCATGGAAAACACCCTCAGCCTCACCTCTGCAAGGATCTCCCAACCTCCCACCCCGGGGTGAGCACTGGGGTCACTGGGGCAGCCTGGTGGCCCTGCAGGACATGGCCTGGATAAGAGGACTTTCCCCTGTGGCCCCTGGACAATGGGGAGCTGTTCCTGGAGTGCCCCATACATTCCAGGATCCATTGGCCTCACAAGTTAAATATTTAGTCTTTCCTGAATCTGAATATTCCCGAGGTCCCGGGTTTGTTGTTTTCATCCACTGGGCTTTGTTTCTGCTGATTAGAGCGGTGGGTTTGGAGATAGAGACTCTATTCCTGGCAGAAAGGGGAGTATTATTAACATTCCTTATCGTGGAACTGTGTATCATTGTGTGGCACTGCACAGGGCAACCTTAAAATAAAAGCCCTGCTGTGCCATTCTGGGCAATGTTTTGGCTGCCAGCCACCCCCACAGCCCTGTGGGCAGAGACACTGTGCCAGGTTATTGGGGCCATGTGGCTCCTGTCCTAAACCTGTGCCACTCACTCACAAAAGGAGGGTTCATCCAGCACATCCCTGGTGGCAAAGCCCCACAGCCTGGTTTCCAGCAAACCAGGGCTTAAAGCCCATTTTGGCTGCATCCTCCAGCTGCAGGTTTGCTGGGAGAAGAGGTATAAATACAGAACTTTGGAGAGAGCTGAGCAGTTTGCATATCACGGAATTCCAGAATGTCCTGAGCTGGAAGGGATCCCCACGGACCATCCAGTCCAACCCTCAGCCCTGCACAGGCCCAGCCCCAAGAGTCACCCCCTGTGCCCCAGAGGATCAGCCAAACCCTCCTGGAGCTCTGGCAGCCTTGGGGCTGTACCCACTGCCCTGGGGAGCCTGGGCAGTGCCCAACCAGCCTCTGGGGGAAGAACCTTTGCCTGAGATCCAACCTGAGCCTGCCCTGACACAGCTCCAGCTGTTCCCTGGCTGCTGTCCCTGGTCCCCCCAGAGCAGAGCTCAGTCCCTGCCCCTCCTCTGCCCCTGCCCAGGAACAACTGGCACCCACCAGGAGTGCACATCCAGAGTGTCCCTAATCCCAGTGTCACCTTCCTGACACTCTTAACATTTTCCCTGCCTGAGGGCTTTGGCAAGGACAGCACATGAGGCTTTCAGGCTTCTCTCTGGAAAATTCGCTGTTGTCTCTGCAGAGTCCTCTATCCAGGACCATCTGTAACATCTTCCTCACAGTATTTCCAGTGAAGGTGTCCCTACACATGGCAGGACTTTGGAACAAGATGATGGTCATTAAAGATCCTTTCAACCCAACCTGTTCCATGGTTCTGTGGTTGTATCCAGCTTAACAGAAATATTCACACAGGAAGGATGGAGCAGCCCTTATGGCTTTCAGGTTTCCCTCATGATTTTTGATACAATAAACTATAAGCCTCATGTTAAGAACAATTTAAAAAGTCTGCTCTTTCTTATTCCAAAGTGACTGTGCTCAGCCCTGTCATCCACTCTGGAAGAAAATTATCTCCAAGTGAAAAACAGCAACACAGGCAACAAGCAGCTCAGGCACATCTAGCCCATGACTAATTAGGACTACTTAAATCCCAGCACTGTTAAACAAGAGTAATTTCTCTTTCTGTCTCCTTTCTGTTTAAAAAAAAAAAAAAAAGGTAAGAAAAGTCGATGTCTTAATAGAGGAAGTGGGGATGTGGCCGTGCCAGCAGAGGAGTCTGCTTGGCCACCTCAGGAATACACAGCATTTTCTCTTCCTGTTTTTCTGGGTCAGTGTGCAGGTTGATATATTGCTGTTTAACCTGCAAATTGGGTGTCCCAAAATATGCAGAAAGTGCAGCCCAGTGGAGGCAGTGCTGGGGGAGCTGTGGTGTGTGCCCAGCCTCACCCTGTGCTGCCACGGGCTCTGCGTTCCCTGTGTGGCTGAGCTGGGACATTCCCAACCCCCTGTGCCCTGCCCTGTCCTGAGGAGTTCATGGCAATCCATGGAGGCAAAACCTGCCCGTACCACTCACCTGCCTCACCAGCCTGGAACTGAGACACTGGAGAGTGGTTGCTCTTGGGTGGGGGGAGAACGGAGCCAGGAGAGATCTGCAGCAGGAAGCACTGAAGGAAGTTCATCTCAATCCACAGATCCATCCTTTTTCATGGAATCACACACTGATTTGGGTTGGGAGGGACCTTCAAGCTCATCCAGTTCCACCTCCCTGCCATGGGCAGGGACACCTCCCACTAGCCCAGGATGCTCCAAGCCCCGTCCAACCTGGCCTTGGACACTTCCAGGGATTCCAGGGGCAGCCACAGCTTCTCTGCCCAACCTGTGCCAGGGCCTCCCCACTCTCACAGCCAACAATTCCTTCCCAATATCCCATCTCTCCCTGCCCTCTGGCAGTGGGAAGCCATTCCCTGTGTCCTGTCCCTCCATCCCTTGTCCCCAGTCCCTCTCCAGCTCTCCTGGAGCCCCTTTAGGCCCTGCAAGGGGCTCTCAGCTCTCCCTGGAGCCTTCTCTTCTCCAGGGGAACCCCCCCAGCTCTCCCAGCCTGGCTCCAGAGCAGAGGGGCTCCAGCCCTGGAGCATCTCCGGGGCCTCCTCTGGACTCTCTCCAGCAGCTCCACGTCCTTGTGCTGTTGTTCCCAGGGCTGGGGCAGCTCTGCAGGGGGGTCTCACCTGAGGGGGCAGAGGGGCAGAATCCCCCCCTCCCTGCTGCCCACGCTGTGGGATCAGCCCATGGGTGTTTCTGGACTGTCAGTGCCCACAGCTGTGGCATGTCCAGCTTTTCATCCTCCTGTGTCCCAAGTCCTTCTCCCCAGAGCTGCTCTCCATCTCTTCATCCCCCAGCCTGTATTGATACCAGAGGCTGCCCTGACCCAGGTGCTGCTGTTTCTTGGTGAGGAGAAAGATCCCTGTGTTAAAGGTGGATTTAATAGGAGCAAAAAGCTCCTCCAGACCTCAAAGCCATGCCAAGGGAAGGGGTTCTTTCTGTTCTTTTCAAAGAAGCTGGTAAAAAATGGATAAACATTGAACCTGTCAGGGCATGTTCTACAGCATTTATTGGAGAAGTTATGACCTGATAGTTGAAAAGATTCAGATTTTCACAGGCTTTTGGCTGGTTGAGCTGTATATACGGTACTTTTATTTTTCTTTCTCTGAATAGGATTACTGGAGTTTGCAATAGCTCCATCCTAGATCACCATGAATTAGGGGCTGTAAAACAACCAGAGAGCAGAGGAAGATTTCCAGTTTGTGGCCTCTCATTACAAGAAAGTCATCGAGGGTCTGGAGCATGTGCAGGGACGGGAACAGAGCTGAGAAGGGGCTGGAGCAGCAGGAGCAGCTGAGGGAGCTGGGAGGGCTCAGCCTGGAGAAAAGGAGGCTCAGGGGGGACCTTCTGCCTCTGCAACTCCCTGACAGGAGGGGGGAGCCGGAGGGGGATTGGGCTCTGCTGCCAGGGAACAAGGGACAGGAGGAGAGGGAACGGCCTCCAGCTGTGCCAGGGGAGGCTCAGGTTGGACATCAGGAGGAATTTCTTGCTGGAAAGGATGGTCAGGCGTTGGAAGGGGCTGCCCAGGGAGGTTTGGAGTCCCCATCCCTGGAGGTGTCCAAGGAAGGCCTGGATGTGGCACTCAGTGCTCTGGGTTGGGGGTGGGGCACAGGGGGGACTGGATGGTCTTGGAGGCGTTTCCCAAGCTAAATAATTCTATGATTCTCTTCTATGACTCTGAGTTGCACTGCCTGTGCAGGTCACAGCCCCAGAGCACTGAGGGAGGTGGGGAGGGAGGGAGGGAGGTAGAGGAGCAGGTTGCAGCCTGCGTGCTCTGAATGTGGCTGAATGGCCTCGAAAGAGTGAAGATTTTTGTGTTATGATCCTAAAGCCACCTCCCTGGTGGAGCAGCTGGCACAGCTCCCTGCCAGCTCTCCTTCAGACTGACACAGGCTCTGGAGAAGCAACCAAAGGTTTCGAGGCAGCACCACAGAGAGTTCTCAGGAGCCTCTGTTGGGGGCAGGTCATCCCCAAGAGCCACTGCAAGGCCCAGGGCAGCCGAGGTGCTGCTGAGGAACCATCTCAGTGTGACCAAGAGCAGGTGTGAGGAGCCACAGCACTGAAACACATGTTCCTGTCAGCACAGCCCCTATTCCTGACCCTCCTCTCGGAGCAGAGAGGTCCAGGCTGGAACACAAGGTAGACAACGACACCTGAAGGTCGAAGGCTCCAGTGCCTGGGAATCTTGGCAGAGCTTTCACTGAGTCATCCCAGGGTGTTTACAAGGCTCTCCCACTATTCTGCTCCTGCCAGCAGCTGACAAGCACGTCTGGTTAAACTTAACAGAAGTGTGTTTAATAATTAGCAGAGCTCAGGAAGGCCTTGCTCGCAGCCCTGTTGCGTGTGGAGGTGTTAATCAGAGCACATGAGGAATGAGAAGTGTTTGGCACTTGCAGCAGCTGGAGGATCCTCCCTCCCCCCTTGCTCTGAGCACATCTCCCTGTGCTCCAGGCTGATGTCATCAGTGCCTGGAGGCTCCTCTTGGTCTCTGCTGCACCATCTGCCTTCCCATTCCTGGGATTAGGGACCCTGAGAA